TTTGCATGGCCATCATGTTCTAGTGGAGTCTGCATGAAACACTGACATTTGTATTCTGATGTTTTCTGTCACTGGTGCCAACGCCAGTGACTGAAGAACCAGATCAGGCAAGAAAGAGTCTGCAGATTAAGAAGGACACAACTCGACACAACTCGGTAGAAGCAAATGCCATTGGTTTATTGCAGCCAGCAGTTTATATACAAGAGGAGATGGGAAAACACCACCTGCTAGCAGAACACATCCCACGCCCTATCATAAACAGGGAAACCACAAACCCTGTCCATGACCAATGAAGCAAGAAGGGGATGGGAGCAAGGCATAATGTTTCAAAACAAAAAAGGTCCATAACAGGATATTGATGTTAGTGGGCAAGGCCAGGAAAACGGGAGCTACCTGTGGTTATGCTGGAAAACAACTCCCAGAGACCCCGTGGGGCCTGGGTCCCAACAGTTTTCTAACATCGTGTCATAGTTTACTTCTTCCTACCAAATAACTCTCTGTGTAGTGGTTTTTAGGTAAACTTAGATTTAGAAACTGCCATTATTCCATGCAGTTTTCATCATTAGAAATTCAAAGTTTGATTTGTAAATTCCTATCCACTCTCCTCCTGCCTACAAAAACATTCAAAGAAAATGAAATTAGCCAGCCAATGATCACTATTTCACATATAAAAATTTGTTTTATTCAGTCTGGTGTCATGAATTGTATCTCCCTCACTGCCTCCTTTTGTTATCTTTCACCAATACAGGATATAGGTACATAGGTACATGGTGACACTGGTAGGGTAGAATACATCATCACAGTACAAGAGTAAACTGAGGCTCTCTGAGAGTCCAGCATGTGGACAGTTACTCACTAAACATCATTTCCTATTCTGTATCAACTCTCTTGTTTTCTGGCATGAATATCCCTCATGCAATATCTGTTATTATTATTGGTTATTTGACCCATGAACTTTATTTTTGACCCATCTACTTGGATTCTGAACAATCCCAGCCTATACATCATTCTTTTGGATGATGAAAAGCCATGTTTTTAATACTAACAGTAATTTCTAATAACAGTGTCTCCTTAGCTCTAGCCTGCATGGGTGAAGAAGCCTTTGAAAGGCATGAAAACTACTTTGAGATTGTTTCTCTTGACGCATTTGAATAATATTTAAGTGTGAGAAAACTGTCCCTACTTCCTCTCTCCTAAGACTGTGACGACTTCAGTTTTGAAGACAGAAAGCTGCTGAGATTGACAGACTCTTACCTGACCCCCAGTATAGACATGGGGAAAGCCCACAGGCTGAGTGCACAGTAGTTCAGCTAATCTGAACAGAAAGATAACACCTTTGTGCTTATCTAAGTAAAAGAAAGAATACATTAAAAATAGTATTTTAGGAAGAAGCATATGCCTGCCCAGTGCCATGACAGACTGAGCAGGGCAAAGAGACCCATGCACAGGTAGAAAACATGAGTAGATTGGGCACAGTTATAGTGAGGAGGGGAAAAATGTGTTATAGGAGAGAGAGGGACAGACAGAATGGTTCATTTCTTGTGGGCAGAGGTATATCTGAAGAAGTGAAAGCGGTGAAGAGCAGGCTTAGGTGGGTGACTTTTCTGGGCCTGGGCTGCTACAGGACCCATGCCTAGATTCATGGCCCCGATGCAGCCATGATCTGTGTTGATGTCCAATGTCTTTGATACCACGAAAGACTGAGAGGATAGGGCTGTACAGAGTTGGTCCTGCCCCTCAATGGATGCAACACTAGAGAGAACTGGTCCTGCCCTAAGGATGTGACAATGGGAAAGCAGGTGGTAGTATGAATGAGAGAAGGATGCTCTCCTCCCTTTACCCTCGACCAGCTGCAGCACTCAGAACAGGACCTGCACCTTGACTGGGCACATGTAGAGTTGACCCAGTACACAGGGACGTGGGTGAGCCAGTCCCAAAGTTGTGAGCAAGGGAGAGCTGTCCCCATGACTTACCTGTCAAATGATGGCTCACACAGCCCCCCCCCATCAATGCCTGGGGCAAGTGGGAAAGATGTTCCCATTACTACCTGTCATGGGTTGGGGAGAGACAAACACCCCCTCCCACCAATTGCCTCAGGTGGGAGAGCTGGCCTTGAGGTCAGAAGAACAGGAGAGCTGTCCTTGCCCCTTGTCAACTGCAGCACTCAGGAGAGTGACCCCTACACTTCTACTGGGCAACACAGTAGAGGTGGCCCTGAGGGTGTAGGTGTGGAGAACCGTCCTTGAAGATGTAAAAGTGTGAGAACTAACTGCATCCCTTGCTCATCGCTGCAAGGGATAAACTAGCCAAGGCAATGCTGGACAACTTAACCTGGTGGTGAAGACAGGAGAGAGAGCTGGTAGACTGACCAACCCTGCAACTTACCCAGACCCAGAACCAGGGTTAAGTGTTGGCCCACCCCAACTGTAATCTGTTGGAGCACAAGTTGGGGGTGGGGGCAGTCCTGTAGACCCAGGGCTACAGGATCTTCATGACACAGGTCAGAAATGGGATGTACAGGAATAATCCCAGTGAGGGCCCACTGTGTACAGTGCAGTAGAGACCATGGGCCTTGAACCAAATCCATGATTCTTTTCGATAAACACCTGCATGTAAACATGTATGGATAAAGAGGTTTACTGTGTGATTCACTGTGTCAAACTACAGCCTCAATGATGAGGTTTTCCCTTCCTTTTTTTCCTTAAATTTTATTTTGTTTTATGGGGGGGTGGGGTTTGCAGGGGCAGAAGAAGGATACAAGGATGGGTGGAACAGGATGCATGATATGAAAGACACAAAGAATAAATTGTAAAAATGTCTTAAAAGTTTAATTCATTGAGAACTCTACGCAATGTAGTTTGATTATAGTCACCTCCAGCTCCTCCTAGATCCACGCCCACATCCCTAATCACTCAACTACTCGTTTTTGTTTTCATTTGTAGCCTATCCAGGCCCATTCATTTGCCCAAATAATTCTGTGGACCAGGCCTCCTCCTGTAGTGTGAATGACCTACTAAATCACCACACTTCAGACTGAGCCTCCCTCTCCTAGGAGCTAGCAGCTGCTGGTAGGGAAAAAACACGTGTTAGTAATATGTTTAATGAGGCCTTACACCTGCATCTGCCCATGGTATGTGATGTTAGGTAAGGAAAACCCAGAAGTTTGACAGCCCAGAAAGGCTGGCTTCATTACTTGGTTCCTTTTGTCACATGTTGCAGTATGCTCAATCAGATTATATCAGCTAAACATGTAGCATAAAGGAACTTAAGCAGAGTCTGTAAGGGGCAGGGGCATTGAATACTAAGGATACAAACAAACCTGACAGATCATCCTAATTAAGCTCCTTGTAATTTACAAAAGTTATTAATTCAAATATCAAATGAAATGATAGGAGGTCAGATAAAGACAATTACAAATTATCTAAAACCTACCTGAGAGGTAGCTCTGCATCTTATTCTAAAACATACCCTATTTACCCTTTGACTTTTCCTTCATGTTTTCAGCCTACATAATACAAATAGATGTAATATATAATTTAACAGCAAGCTTGAACTGTTCCTGACTGAAGAGGTTTGGCTTTAAATAGCCATGCTGAGAGCCAGGTGAATTCACCCTTACTGTCTGAATTAGCAGCCAAATCTGGAGCAGGCCACTTCACATCACTCAGTTGCTACCAAAGATGAAGCAGAATTTGCTCTGAACTGGAGCCTCATCTGACCTTATCACCAGTCACTACTAGCAAGTGCCAGAAATTTTTCCTTGTTTAAATAAATATCATATTTTATTGCTCTCATACTAATAAGCAAAAATAAAGTGTGCAGTAATTAATAGTGAAGTTATACATCTTTTTAAATGTTTTTATAAGCCTTAGATATTACATATTAGCTGTTTGAGTTTGCTTCTTTGTTGCTGTGGTAAGCCCTATAACCAAAAGCAACCTGAGGAAGGAAAAGGCTTATTTGGCTTACACTTACAGTCCATCACCAAGGAAAGCCAAGATAGGAACTCAAATCAGGAACCTGAAAGCTAGAACTGAAGCAGAGATCGTGGACCACTGCTGTCTATTGGCTTTCTCCGTCCGGCTTGCTCGGCTACCCTTCTTATAGAGCTTAGATGCACCTGCCCAGAAGTGACACCACCCACAATGGGTTGGACCTGTCTATGTCAATTATCAATTAAGAGAATAGCTCACAGTGATGACCACAGACCAGTTGATATAGGCAGTTTCTCAATTGAAGCTCCCTCTTCCTAGGTATGTCAAGTTGCCAACCAAAGTTAGCCATCCCATGGGCCAACCAACAAAAGCACATTTCTGTTGACCAAGTTATTCTCAGGCTACAGATACTTGCCTAGTAAATACCCCCGGAGTTCCATGAGATGGAGATGCAGTGTTTCTCAGAAGTGTAACAAGGGATCATGCTTCTGAGATTCGCTTTTCTCCACTAGCCAGTCCCCTAAGTAGGCCCATGCTTTGAAGAACACAAAAATTAAAGCTAATTTTCTTTGTAGGAGTACGATTATGTCTGTCCAACTCATTCAGGACTAAAACAAGAAAAATATTCTTGTAGAACTTTGCTCAGTTAACTGCACTGAATAAAATTGTCAAGGTGAAAGATGAAAAGGTCAGTTAGTGTTTCCAGGTCACTGAGTGGTTAGTTCTAGTTGGAGTTGTGATGACTAGGGCTTAAATTTAGGAAAATGTGTAGGGGTAAATCTTCACAAGTCATGTCAGGTGATGCTGATGAGAAGTCTCAGACCCAAAGTCATTGAAAACGTGATCCAAGTCACTGAGCCAGGTATGTCTGCACTGCCCCTTATAACCCAAACCAGAACTTCTCACAGTTTCTTATTTAAAAGACAGCTGTTAGACACATAATACACCATTCAGTGAAGCCAAGCTCAGCTTTGTTCAAGGCACTGTGATGAAAATACAACTTCCTTTATAACCATGTGTCTGATTTCAGTGAGCTATAAAGTAATTTGACTCCTGTATTTCTAGGATTCCACAGGCATGCAGCTCCAGTGACACGGAGGCAGTTCCCCCATGGTGCACACAGGATGGACTACCTGCACTTCGAGGATGACAGCCGCGGATGGTGGTTTGACATGGATATGGTGATCATCTATATTTATTCAGTGAACTGGGTCATTGGATTCATTGTTTTCTGCTTTCTTTGCTATTTTTTCTTTCCGTTTTAGGAATCATCATACTCCACTATAATTGAACAATCTTAAATACAAACAGCAATGGCTTAAACATTTTGAGAGTGTGCTTTTTAGTTTTTATAATGTTGCATCATAAAAATTGTTAGTGTTCATCGAAATTCTGAGGATAACAGATTTCTTTACTAATGTCTTTCATGTAACAACCTCAACTTTATTCGAGAGCTGATCTACCAGCCATTAGGAACAGTGCACTATTAATTCCATAGATTTTACTTTAGGACTTGGGGTTCTAATTTTACAGTATCATTTTTATACTTACTATGATTGTAAAGACTGAGGTTTTACCTCCATTTAAAAATAGTAAAAATATGAAATGAATAATCTGGAAGAATAGCATCATTATTACTAAGATGTTTAGTCAAGCGCTACATATTCTTAGGCAACTGATGTGCATTAAAGATAAAACATATTCTCTGGGAACTAATCAAGCAGGGTATATTGCATTTTGATTTCTGAATATATCTACTCTGTCTCCTTCTAGTACCAAAAATCTGACTATCCTTTTTGTAGACTTCATAGCTTTGGTGCAACATTTTTAACTATGATAAGAACATGATGTTACATACAATCAGACTAATACCCAATAGCTATGTTAGAGAGCCATATTAACACTTTCCAATTTCAGAATGAATCACTTGAGAAACAATGAGTAATCTGACCTAAATTTGACCTAAATGACCAATGCATGTCCAAGCTGTAATTAATCTGGTGATTCATCTAACTAGAAGATTGTCAATGTGCAATAAAGAGTGGCTTTTACATTTTTTATTGTTGTTATTTGACTTAATGTGTGTAATAAAGAGTTGCTAAAATAGGATTATGTATTTATATAAAGAAAGACTGGTGTTTTATTATATTGCAATAACCATTATAGTTAAGTTTTTCCATATTAAAAGAAGAAAATATCTAAACAATTACAGTGTGGGCAGGAAATGAGGAATGTATCATAATTCAGAAGTGAAAAAAATAAGCAGAGACATAAGCTTATGTGTTTACTGGGACAATTTTCTTTTTTGAGATCTAAGACCAGTTAACAGTAATGAACTGCTAACCCATCCTTTCTGCCTATCATGTTGTTACCTGATTAAAAAAAAAATATGACTTGTGGTACTATTAATACTACAACCATTCAAAACAGATATGCTGGACCAATTTAGACTGTAAATACCTAAAATTCAGCATAATTGCTGGCTATATCAAATACAAACATTAGGTTGACATTTTGTGATCTTCAAAAAATATAAAAGTGGTACATACTTTTGTTCTATTTATTCTTATTTCTGTTTTCACAATTATAGCTGTGAAAATATAGAATCAGACATCAAATCCAGAAAACAAAAAATTAAATGCAATTTAAAAAGAGATATATTTGTGTTTATAAATTAATGTTTATAACCATTAACTTATGTTCTGGATAAAAATAATAATGTGAATAAAGGGGAAACATCAGTCCTCCTGCAATACAAATATCAGTCCTCCCACAATGCAGATCAAACTAAACACAAACAGGGACATTATTTTAAGAACCTTGAAATCAATTACAGCCATTTTCAGGTAATTCCTGGCTTATATGCTTTAGAAAGTATATCTTGATCCATTCCTAAATTGCTTTAGAAGTTTTTTATTATATGCAAATTAAGGAAGCAAGAAAAAATAATATAGATACATATTTCACAGAAAGCATCCATTCATTTCATTCTTGGCACACATTAGTTATTTGTACCTGAAACCTAAATACAAACATCTACATACCCATCGGAATGCAATTATAAATCTCTAATTTTATTTCAAAATATTTTACATTTTATGCACCTGGAGCAAAAAGGAACAAAATACTAAACATATTTTTTCTTAGCGCTACCACTTTCTAGGAAGCCAGATAAAACCTGCAATGCCCAGACACTGAGACAGGTAAGGACCACAAGAGGCCGGAATGTAAACATACCCCTAGGTCTTTAGCTTTTCTGTTAAAAGTATGGCATGTGCCCAGCAGTAGTGGCTCACACTTTTAATCCCAGCACTTGGGAGGCAGAGGCAGGCAGATCTCAGTTTAAAGCCAGCCTGGTCTACAGAATGAGTTCCAGCACACCCAAGGCTTCACAGAGAAGCCCTGTCTCAAAAAAAAAAAAAAAAAAAAAAAAAGCAGCATGACTCGTGTTCCATTCTACCCCAACGAAAGCATTTTAGCATCTGCAGGAGACAGAGCACCTGAAGTCTTTCAAGCAAGATGATGGTCACCTAATCCATCCCAGAAATCATCAAACTCCTGCCTTTCTCTTTGTCCAGAGGGAGAGCAGCCAGTCTCTCTTTCCGTCAGTGTTCGATCCCTTCCGATCTCTACCAACCCCACTTACAGCCTAGCTTATATTACACACCTTTGGCTGGGTGACTCCATATCCAGTAATAAAATGATTTTTCTTCTGCATTCTAGTACACAATAACCAGGAACTGGTTAAATTCATGAATTAATCTTAAAGTTGTTTTTAATGGGTATGAGTGTCTGTCTGTCTGTCTCGCATGCACCTGTGTGCCTGAGGAAGCCAGAAGAGGACACTGGATTCCATAGATTTGAAGTTACAGGCAGTGTCAGCTAGGAAGGCACAGGTTCTGGGAACCAAACTCCAGGACTTGGGAAGATCAGCAAGCACTCTTAACAGCTCAGGCATCTCTCTAGCTCCATGAATTTAAAGAAACACAAAAACTCATTGTGTGCCTCTTCAGCATCTTTTATATATTGGCAAAATATCATTTTCCAATAAAGAACCAAAAGGGAAGAAAAGAAAAATCCTAAATCTAATAAAATGCAATATTTGTCCCCAGTAATATTATTTTGAAAATTAAATTTTATGATCTATCACTAACAATAATTTGCTTCTACCGAGTCCAATAGTGCTCAAGCCTAATTTTAAACAGGTTTGGATATTCATAATAATACCTGAACTGAGCAACATTTCTAAATACTTTGAATAATTTAATTATATGTTGTACACCCACATAGTAAATAGACTATATATATATATATATATATATATATATATATATATATATATTACATCTTTTTCAACTCTAATTCACATTCCCCTCTTCCAATCCCTTCAATGTTTTTTCATATGTTCCTTTATTTTTTTTTTGTACATATACTGAGTGTTATGATAAAGAGCCAGGGTAACCTTGGCAGACTCCATGGCAGGTGAGGGTGACCGAGGAGGGGAACAAACATGCCAGGCAGACAGAGCTTAAGTGGGAAGTTTTATTAGAAAGGGAAGGGGTGGAAGAGAAAGACAAAAGGGGTGAAGAGACACAGAGACAGAGAGAGGACAGAAGAGGAGAGGGAGACAGGAAAAGTTCTGTCTGCTCCAGGGGAACAGCAGGAAAGAGAGAGGGAAAGGAGAGTAAGTGGGTGGGGTCTTTCTTTTAAAGGGGTCCTTTGCACCTTCGTGCAGACTATGCAACCATTGAACCCTGGGCTGACCAGGGTACTGCCTGAGTGCATTCTGCCAGGTGGCAGGGGCAGACCAGCATAATGCCCGAGTCCATTCAGTGCTAGCTCTATGTGCATGAGTATAGGATCACCATTTAGTTCTTCATGTCTAGCTTTTCAGGGCCTACACTGAAGAAAACTGACTCCAATCTCCCACAAGCCAATACTTGCCGGTAGTTCCTCAGTTAGGGGTAGGAATGTGTGAGCCCCGCTTCCATCCATACTGACATTTCATTTGAATGGCTCAAGTGCAGGACTGGTGCAGTCACGGCCCGTGTGAGTTCACGTGCAACTGACCCTTCCTATCAGTAAAATAGCAGCATATCCCTAAACTCATGCACCACCTGTCTGTTACAGTCCTTCAACCATCTCTTCTATGATGATGCCAGAGAGGAGGGGTATGATACAGATGTCACACTTAGGACTGGGTACTCTGTAGTCTCTTACTCTCTGAACCTCGACCATTTGAGGGTTTCCATATAAGCACTATCTACTACGAAAAGGAGTTTCTCAGATGAAGGTTGAGAGATGCCCTCCCTGGTCATAAAGGAAGTACTTAGGAGGTGGTTTAAAATTCGTGTCCGTTTCATAGATAATAGTAGTACCTTTGGTTCAGAAATTTGCTTGGTATCTTACTGTTCAAGTGAAATCAAAGTGTCCTGTGATGACTAATCTCAATTGTCAATTACATAGGATTTAACACCACTATAGCAGCAAATCTCTTGTTTTGTCTATGAGGAATTTTCTATATTAAATTACTGAATTGGGAAGACCAACTCTAAGAGTGGTGACATGATTCTCTCCCTCTCCCTCCCCCTCCCCCTCCCCCTCCCTCTCATTGCCTCCTGACTGTGGCTATAATATGACCAACAACCACATCAAACTCCTTCCCCTTGACTCCTTTGCTATGATGAGCTATACCCTGGAACTATCAGCCCAAATAAACCCTTCCTCCCTTAAGCTGACCTTGTCAGGGGATTTTATCATTGAAATGGGACAACTTAATACATTACTATTGGAAGCAGAGTTTTCTACTCTTGTCTTCTGTTATCCAAGATAACTCTGAAAATAACATATGTCCAGAAATCCATTTCTGAATGTAGTTATGGCAAAGCTGAGTGAGATGAAAGCTGCCCACTGAGTTCCAGTTCCTTCTGTTAGATAAAAGTCCACTCACCTTAACTAGGTTAGTGTGCACTGCCCATGTGGTCACAGATATAAATAATAACTTGGTGTGCCTTTTATTTCCCACTTAGAGATGGTGCACATGGTCTTCCAAAAACAGAACTGATTTTTGCCCTAGTTACACTGTGCATAGCTCTTAACTGAAAAAATGGCAAAAGATTTAAGGATTGTAATTTTTTCCTTACAACCATAATATTTAAAACGGCCAAAGAAAAGGTAAGGTAAGGAAATATCACCAGTTAACCAATAACAAATGAACTGAGAATGTGGTCCAGTCTGGTTTTAACTAACTTTTTAACACACTATA